GCGTCGATTCCGTCACCTTATCAGATGAAGTGGGAATCGGCCAAGGTGTGCCGAATGGAGTTTAATCTAAAAATATGATAATTGGTGACGCAACGTGATGTGATGTAGAAATTTACATGTTAACATGCATAGTACAAGAACAAATTTTAAATTTATTCATAACAAACGATGTTTTTAACAAAACCGTTCCATCTAGCCTATTCCCAAAAGTATGTGCTGTGTGATTGTGGTGTCGAGAGGGGGAAGGGGGGATTATAAATTTGAAATGGTCCTATTATGAGCAAAACATTTATCAAAATCTAATTTACGTCATTAATAGAATTCAAACTGGTATATATTGAATTTAGCATGTTAGATAAATATCATTAATAGAATCCAAACTGGTATATATTAAATTTAGCATGTTAAATAAATATAAGAGGTTCTGAGTCATAGGTCACAGGGAGAATTTCATACTCAATTTGATGAATACATGTAAATTATATAGAATTATTTTGACTTTTTCCTTGGAAAGCCGCCCAATATGTAGGAGTGTGCATTTAGAGGCAAACACCTTAGTGCGGGTATTACTGTCTTATGACAGCATCTAGTTATAATTTGATTTTAGAGAGAACATGAAAAAAATGCCTTTTTCCTTGATAATATTTGAATACAGTAAAACTCGGTTATAGCGAAGTCTTGGGGACCACTGAAAGTAATTCGCTATATCCGTAATTCGTTATATCCGTATAACGAATTCGTATAACCATATATAGCGAATTCGAAATATGGATGTTTTCTTTCAAGTGCTAGTACGAAATATATTAGGGAAGGAAATATTACAAACATACCTTTACATGTAATAACTAATGCTTTATTATGAATTGAATTTGATATTCAAATGCAAAAAGAAAATAAAGTCTGTTCAATTTAACAAATTTTGAGATCTTTGAAAATTCGTTATAAAAGATGTAAATTTCCTTATACTTCACCTCAGCGGAACTCAAAATCAGTTCGCTGTATCCGTAAATTCGTTATATCAGAGTTCTTTTTAATCGTAAAATTTTATAAAGATTTGTTAAGATTTTTTTCAGGGGACCCAGAAAAACTTCGCTGTATCAGTGAATTCGCTATATCCGTGTTCGTTTCGTACTAAACGAGTTTTACTGTATCTTAAGTGAAAACTTAGCACGCAAAACGTTTAAATAACTCTATTCCAACATACGACGGCTGTTCAAAAATTACGCAAACTCTGCTATTATTTACTCTTACAGATGTAATATAGTATTGAAAGTTTACAGAAACACATATCTTAAAGATTTCATTAAATTTTGTGCAAAATACTGTACTAAAACTTTCTTAAATTATCGTTGTTTTGATATTCCTTTTGGAGAAGTACGGAGAACAAAAAAAAAATTGAAACACACACATGCGGAATCCCAAATTTTACTCATTTATTTTTTATAATTCGCGTTATTTTCAACATTTTTTTCAAATGTGTCTTTATATTGTGCTTTTATTGTACATTTAGATTTCTGTCGTTATATTTGAAGTATTGACAGAAATATTCTGTTTTTCTTCGATGCCATATATGTGAAAACTGCTAAAATGACGTACCTTGTATTGACGGAGCAACGCACTATCTGTCAAATGCGTTATGCCCAAGAAATCACCAACATAGATCCAAAATTTGCATGATAAAAAATGTAATAAACATGGGTTATCCCAAAATGTGTCTACAAATAGCAAATTGGAATTTAAGACGGTTAGAACTTTGTAAAAAGCTTACGGAGGTTCGATCCATAGCTTTTTAGAGCAGATTTTGGTCTGGACCGTTATTTCTCAAATTCTGCATCATCTTTAATTTCTAACACTTAATCTGGATTCTACTATGCAAATTGAACTGTATTAAATGAAACAAGCGATTAAATTCTATTCAAGTGGGATTAAGCCAGGAAATATCTGTTGTGGCGGAATGTATAACGGAAGAAATTGATCAATTTTCCCGTTATCAACCATATACAGTTCTGTTTAATTTTAGATTCCAATTTGCCCATGCTTGTTGCACACAAAGCTGAATTTTGCAGTGAAATATCTTATACTGGTTCTAAAATATCTACTAAATTATGTCATATGAATTCTTTCAACGAATTATGACAAATATAGTAAATTAGTACATAAATGTAGTAAATTAGTAGATAAATTCTGAAAGTCCAGGAAAAAATTAAATTAATTCTAACATAATATTGACACTTCTCCAAGTAATATTTAAAAAAATGCATCATATACGCCCAATTTTTATGTTCTTTTCTGCATATTTACTGCTTAAATACTTAAGTTTAAGACTTTCAAGTAATTTTCTTGCTTTTAACAGTAAGTGCAGAAAGGTCAATTAAAGTAATAAGTAATTTGAAACATTTTCTTAGTCATAATTTTAAAGTGTCTGTTTTAAAGCAGACTTACAGTTCATTTTGTTCCACGCTTTATCATACCACCCGGCTTGAAAAGGGGGAGGGTATATAGTAATCGACGTGTCCGTCCTTAAGTTACTTTTTTGGGTACCCATCTTATCCGCAACTCCTCTCGTACCACGAATGAAATTTGATGAAACTTTCATGGAATCTTTATTACATGATGCCATTGTGCACCTCCTATTTTGATCCGACATATATTTTTGGTTTTCAACAGCAAAGCATGGACACTGCCGTTATATTCACACGAGAGTGGGGGTATCATTTAGTGAGTTCAATGCTCACAGTACCTCTAGTTTGGATAAAAATAATGGAGGGAAAATGTCGAAAATGTAACTTTTTTTTACTAAGACACAAATATTAATGCAACAAGGTCAAATTAAATGTACATGTACTATAGCGTTAAAAGAAGCATAATGAGTCACGTTTTTCAAATTGATTTTTAGATAAGCTATGTGTGTAGAAATTAAAAATATACTTAACAAAAAGTTAAAACCTTTAATTATCAGTAACCAACCTCGCTAAGGGGAACAAATCATCTGGAACATTTTAAACGTGATTGATAGTGACCAACGTCATATGTATCTATTCAATACCTGCAGATTTGGGGTTTAAAGCAAAGTATAATATTTTTTTTGGTTTACTTGGTTTATAGAATTCAAGCTTGAAAAAAATGGCATACGGATGTTTATACTGAGTAGATAAGGCAACTCACACTGTACAGAATCAAACTTCGAGTAAATGGAAGCTCACATTTTTAAGTTTATAATGCCCGTGACTTGGAATAAGTAAATATTCTTTTATATCATGTGTCATTTTGCCCGATTATGTCGTTAAATATTTTTTTCCGTGGAACTAGTCCGCGTATATATATATATATATATATATATATATATATATATATATATATATATATATATATATATATATATATATATATATATATATATATATATATATATGTAAGACTCTAAGGTCCGATGGTGACGCCAAAGCCCGATGGTCTCGCCAAACCCCAATGGTCTGCGCCAAAGCCCGATGGTTTGTTGTCGTCACGGACGCCAAAGTCCAGTGGTCACGTCAAAGTCTGATGGCTCGTTTCCTATGAGACACGCTGCGCTAAAGTGCGATAGTCAGACACGCCAGTCCGCCAAAGTTCGATATTGCGGAGAAACAATCAACGTTTATGACGTCACAATAATTCGACGTCAATCCTTGACGCCGTTTTCCTGCATTCATATGCCATCATTTCCGAATTTATCCTTGCATACGCTTTTATTTATTTTGTGTATTGCTTACATGTTTCAGAGATATTTGGATTAGTCCTCGCACACCACTCAACTGATTAGGGTCAGTCCTCTTAGTTTATTGGTTTAGGGATAGTCCTCGCACACTAGTCGATTTATTAGGGTTAGTATCGCACCCACCCAAGGTATTTAGGTATCTATATAGTTGTTAGGCCTACACACTTTTCGAGCGATTAGGGTAAGTTTCGCACCTATCCGAGAGATAAGGGTTAGTTTTTGCATAATGATAATTATTAATGCTTATTTAAATCTTTGGCATGGTGCGGCATTGTAGTTTGCCGCATTAGTATTATGACGTCATAAACGTGAATTGTTTTCAGCACCATCGGGGTTTGGCGTGTCAAACCATCGGGGTCTGGCGTATACCATCGGACTTTGGCGTGACCATCGGACTTTGGAGTCCCGTCGCACTTTGGAGTCCTACACATATATATATATATATATATATATATATTCTGATATATATATATATATATATATCAGAATATATGTATTTTAAAGTTTTTTGTTGTTTATCTTTTGTGAATTTTGAGACTCTGTAATAATGTGATTGCTTGTATTTAATATCACTTTTTATTCTTCATCTATCACATAATTGGAACAGTAAGAGAAATAAGGTAAGAGCATGATTTTTCTTAAAATTGATTATAATATTCTGCTTGATTTCGCATACATTTCAAATTATAATTAAACCAAATCTCGTATTTATAAAATCATAAACATAACATTTTCTGAAGTGTAGGATACTAAAGATTTATTACTAAATATCTTATTTAATTCAAAGTTCAACTTTCAAACAGTTCAAAACATGAATCTTTCAAATTTTGAAAATAATATAATGCATAATGTTTGAAATATCAAAATATCAGACTGAAAATATATTTTTCTGAATAGTTCAGAGGGAGAGAGGAACCTGCCCATTTCATATGAAGTTGATGGTACGTCGATGGATAATCTAAATACAGTCATGTATAATTATAATTGCCGTTAAAATATGATATCTTTGAATGCAAATGTCATAGTTTTTAAATGGTGTCTAGTGTTTTGAGGTTATTTTTTGATTTAAATAATAAACTTTAAAATTTTAGGCTTCCTAACCCTAACAGCGAAGTCTCTTCAGTTCTTTCACAAAACACAAATTTTTGGCGGAACATAACACTCGTTATACTTTAAGCAAAAAAATGTTTTTTTCTAAGCTTTTGTGATAAAATAAACAATCTCAGTGGTTGTTTGAGTTGTGCATTAGGTTTAAGAATATGAAACTAAAAACATGAATAATATTTATCTACATCCTTTTCTTCCTAGATGAACAAGACACTAATGTTGAGACTGCTTCTCACTTGTAAGTTTATGTTATACTTTTTTTTTACTTTTAAGAAGACTTTTGAAAGTCTATCAAAATGAATTTGCATTTAAGCAAAATATCTTAAAGAATACAAGTTACAGCAAAATGTGCAAAGTTTAAAAAAGATGGGCGCATTTGGCGGATGATCTGCAGGAATCATTTGTACGAAACATTTATGGTATAAATGTCCACGAGTAGGTTAGCTGGCTATAGCTGGTTAGATTTAACAAAAAAACATAGGCTTTTTGTTTCATTTAGTTTGAAATACTTTGTCAGATTGAAACATTTATGACCATGTCTCTTAACATGGTAATGCTTCACAAAATTAAACACATACATGAATAGATAAAACGCATACATGAATATGGTAAGCGTACATATCGGTAAAGTAGAATAGAAGATTGTAATTTTTTTTTTTTTTATCTTTTATTTCACAATTTTCATCAATACCCATTTACAATTGCCAGTTAACCCGGGTATTTAGGATAACCAGCATAAAAACAACAAAGAAAAAAAAACTACAAAATATAAGTTATAACAGATTTGTTAAAAGTTTAACTTGGTATGTTTTTGAAAAATTTAAAATGAAATTTATATCTTTTTCTAATGAACCTCTAATAATTTTTTCTAACATGGACTTTTCTTGTATGATATTTTCTATTCTATTTTTTCATTTTAAATTTATATATATTATATGCCAAATATGATATAAAAGTATTATAAAAAGAATTCTTGAATTTGTTTCCAAGTAAAATCCTATAACAGTATGTTTCCATTGCACAACAAATTTCATAACAATATTCAACTTTTGCCATACACCTTTTACATTATCACAATTAAAAAAAAGATGTTTGATATCTTCATATTCATTTCTACAACATTCACATTTTGGATTTGTTCTTAACTTACATTTTTGAAAAGAATTACAACTTAGAATATTATTCAGCAATTTATAATTAAATTCACTCAGATGTTTATCATACATGAGTTTGATTTTATTTCTATAAATATTGCGCCAGTGTTCTTTACTAACACAGAAAATTCGACCTAATATTGATTGATAACATGGATATTTAAACTTTCTGACAGCATATTCTCATAGAAAAACTTAAATTTTTCATCTGTAATACAATGAAGACCACTGTTAAAATTGAATGAATATACAGAGGTTGTCTTGGTAAAAACACAGCACTTCATATCAAACATATTACTCTGTTTAGTTACTTTATTTTTTAAATTCTTGTATTCACACAACCAATTAGATTTATTTATCAGAGTATTTGAAATTTCTTGTAACGTTTTAAAGTTACCATTTTCGTCAAAGAGATCTTTTGTATACAATATATTTCTTGCAATCCAATTTTTGAAGCATATCGTTTTACCTTTAAATTCATACAAAATGTTACTCCAAAGTGGTTGTCGTGCAAATTTGACATTAGATAAATCCGATATTTGTATTTCCTTTTTGCTTTCATTAAAATAACAGAATATTTCTCTATAAAAATTAGGCAAGTTAGATATAAGTGAGAAGTTTTCGAGTTATCTTTCAGACAATGTTAATAAAGAATTAATGTCTATATTCATTTCGCTAAGGTATCCGTTTATGACTTTATTTAATATGCAAGATTAATCACTTTCTTATTACCCAAGATGCCTTTAATGCCTTTAATTTTAGTTCGATATCAACTAATCCTATTCCGCCATCTTCTTGTTTGCATATAACAGTGTCTCGCTGAATTCTATCTCGTTTGTTCCATATGAAATTGAATACGCTACTTTTTAATTTTTTTTTATCAACTCGTTGTCTGGAATGGGTAATATTGAGCCAACATACATTAACTTTGATATAGCTGAAGAATTAACTACACAAGACTCCCCCCCCCCCAAATTGTTAATTTTCTCTTTTTCCATGATTGAAACAGTTTTTCCATATCTTCATAAATTTTAGTCCAATTCAAGATGTAGCATTGATCTTTATTATGTCCAATAAAAATACCTAAGCAGCGAACAACATCATTGGTTACATTAATATCGCACACATTTGAGTGCCTATCCTTGAGACTACCTAGTATAAATTGTGTTTTATTCAGATTAATTTTTGATCCAGCGTGGTTGCAAAAAGTTTGAACAATTTCAATTGCTGTTTCTAGTAAGGATATATCTTTTTAAGCTAAAGTTATATCATCCACATGTTGTAGATTTTTTAAATCTGGCGAAGTTGCATTTAGTTTAATACCTTTAATATGTTCATTATTTTTTATTTTAAAAGCTAATATTTCTGCGACAAATAAAAGTAGCAAGGCTGAAATAGGACATCCTTGTCTTATTCCTCTAGACATAGAAAAAGATTTTGAAATCCAACCATTATTTTTTACTTTAAAAATTGGGTTGGTGTATAAAATTGTTATCCAGCTGATAAAGTTTTCACCAATGTTAAATTTTTCGTGTACATTAAATATGTAAGACTCCAAAGTGCGATGGTGACGCCAAAGTCCGATGGTCTCGCCAAACCCCGATGGTCTGCGCCAAACCCCGATGGCACGCGGTCTTTACGGACGCCAAATTCCGATGGTCACGCCAAAGTCCGATGGTTGGTTTCCTATGAGACGCGCGACGCTAATGTGCGATGGTCTGACACGCCAAAGTCCGATGGTGCGGATGAACAATCAACGTTTATGACGTCACAATAATCTGACGTCAATCATTGACACCGTTGTCCTGCATTCAAAAGCCATCATTTTTGAATTTGTACTTGAGTACAATTTCATTGATTTTGCTTATTGCTTGCACCTCCCAGAGATATTATGGTTAGTTCTTGCACACCACTCGAATGATTAGGGTTAGTTTTCTTGCATTGCACAACCTTAGAGATTTTGGGTCAGTCCTCACTAGTCGAGTGATTAGGGTTAGTCTTGCACCCATCCAAGATATCTATAGGTTATTGTTATTACACACTTTTCAAGCGTTAATCTGGCGAAACTATTTGAGAGATAAGGGTTGGTTTTCGCATTTATTTATATATACTTGTTTTTAAGACCTTGGCATGGCGTGTCATTGAGGTTTGGTGCAGAGGTACTATGACGTAATAAACGTTAATTGATTTCCGCACCATCGGACGTTGGCATGTCACACCATCGGGGTTTGGCGCAGACCATCGGGGTTTGGAGTGACCATCGGATTTTGGAGTCCCATTGCACTTTGGAGTCCTACAAATATAAAATTCCATTGTATCGAATCAAAAGCTTTTTCAAAATCTATAAATAACAAAATTCCTTCCCTATTATTTTCTATGCAATGTTCATTAATATCTAAAACAATTCTAGCATTAATTCCAATATATCGTCCTTTGATCTATGCCGATTATTCTTTACTTATCAATTGATATATAACTATTTGTAATCTTCTTGCAAATATGAAAGCTATAATTTTAAAGTCAGTGTTTGTTAAACTTAAAGGTCGTTAATTCTTAAAATCATTCTTATCTCCTTTTCTAAATAAAACTGTAATAAGAGATATACGTTGTGAAAAAGTAAGCTGTTTATTGTCAAAAACGGATAGCAGTACTTTGTAAAATAAAGAGCCTATAAGGTTCCAAAAACATTTATAAAATTCTCACGGTAAACCATCTAAGCCAGAAGATTTATTGTTTTTCATATTATAAACTGCTTCTTTACATTCATATATTGTAGGCTTTACATCACATTTTTCCTTCTCTTGATTTTCTAATTCAGGAAATTAATATTTGTAGATACTTTGATATTTCAGTATTATCAATTAATTTACTGCTGTAAAGGTTTTTGTAAAAAGTGCACATTTCGTTCAATATCTCAGAATTTGAAGAGAATGTCTTAGTTTCATTTCGTACTTCAAAAATTGTATTATTAGCTTGATTTTTCTTTTCTAATCCAAGGAAATAACCTGTTTTTCTTTCGCCCTCTTCTATCCATTGTGCTTTAGATCTTATTTGTGTGTCATTTGCTAATTCAGTTTGCATTTCATCTAAATCTTTTTCCAACTTTCTTTTTTCGTTCATATTAATTTGAGCGCTAGGAAGATTTTCAAGTTCATCAATTTTCTTTTCAGTTAACTGTATCTTCATTTTTATATTGTGTTTAGATTGTTTTGCATAATTTATCGAGAAATCGCGAATTTTTACTTTAAATAATTCCCATTTTGAAATAGAATGCAGCGATTTATCTAAATTCATTTAAAATTTTGATTACACCTTCTTTATAATCAGTCTTTTCTAAGTGAGATACGTTTAATTTCCAATATCAGGAACCGTGTTTTTGTTTACTAAAATCCACAAATGTTTTAAGGTATCTATGATGGCTCATTCTAGTGTTTTTATTATGTGTGCCTGGTATGCGTCTTATAATTATATTTTTCATGAAATTCAAGGTATCGCTACTTACAAATACATGATCTATTCTACTTTTAGGACAGTTATCTGAAACACACCAGCTAACACCATATCTCTGAGGATGTTTATATTGCCATAGATCTACAAGATCTAAATGATTTAAAATTTCTAATAAGCGTTTTTGCGATTTATCACTTTTCTTTTCAAAGCTACAATTAAAATCTCCACAAAGGAATATTTTACTTCCTTCAGAGGAATATAAAGAAGTAAATGTTTTAAGTCTGTTGCAAAAGGTTATTCGCGCATTTTCACTATTAGGTGCATTGTAATTGATTTTGCTCTCTGTGCAACTGAACCCAAATTTATCTAATTAAAAAATTAAATACACCAGTACAAAATGAAACTGACAAATAATTTGATCATTACAAAAAAAATTAACGCCCCATGCGGGGCTCAGACCAAAAAACTATTCACACCTTGTACACTGAACAGGTAGCCTATCTTACAGAGCTATCAGCGTTACACATTAAGTGGATTTTACAAAGGAGGATGAAGTACCACATTTACACAGTTTGATTTTTTTTTTTTAGAAATTATAGTTAATTTTTTATAGATTCTGGGTCTTCTTTTCATTTTTTGCAAATGTATGTTCGTTTCTTTGAAGTAAAATACAAACGCTTAACGTTTAAAAGTCATGGAGAGAAGACCCAGAGAAATAATTTTTTTTTTTTTAGATAAACTGTTTAGAGGTTTGTTTTTGTGTTCAGCCAAGTGAAACTCGTTTAAAATTAAAATCTCAGTATCTTAATAAATACATCATGCTTTTTTATTTAAAAAAAAATGACCATGGCACCTTCTATTGCAATGCTGTCTTGAAATGTATTCAATTCGGTTGTCAAATGCAATATCTTGCAGAAGCAATGTGCACAATACACTTGCAGGACTGCACAGCTGCAGGTCTTATAAAACAATAACATGAAATTTGTTGTATATGTACATATAGTTGAACGTCATGGGTACAACATTTTGTTTTGTTCCTAGCAATTCTATGCGTATTTTCCAGTCCCATGATTCCGGTATTGAAAACTATTGAATATTTCTGTAATCTGTTGTCTCTAGTGCCCAAATTACACAACGCAATTAAAGAGAGATATCTCGTAAAATGTCCACGTGTTGAAAGTATCGATCGACATATTTAATATTGCTTTTTTTAAAATAAAAGTTACATAGATGTTTACATCGTTTCATGGAATACTCCTTCTTGGATTTTACAATTGACCTGAAAAATTAAAAGGCGCCCAGTTTTAGCAGTTCCGATTAAGGTTAACGCCTGTTATTTCTTTTGCAGGGAAGGCTATAAATTATTTTTGTTAAATAAGCACATTAATTCCACATATGAAGTAAAGTGTTTAATAAGAGGCCCAGGGACCACAACACTCACCTGAGCACATCAGCTAAAAAAAGCACATATTATGATATGGACGAACTAGAATCTACAATACCTGAGGACAATTCTACATAAATATACTAATCAGGGCTTTGAAGTACTTGAAAAGAAGATTTGAAAAGGTTTCACTATATATTCCTATGAGAATTTTTGGTCGACCATTTTGGCCCCACCCTATCCCCGGTCTTGATTTGAATAAATTTGAATCTACACAACTAAGGATAATTTCACATGAGTTTCATCTTTCCTGGCCCAGTGGCTCTTGAGAAGAAGATTTTTATAGATGTTTCCTATATATTTCTATGTAAAACTTTGATCGGCCATCTTGGCCCCGCCCTACCCCTTAGGATCATGATTTGAACAAACATGAATCTACATTACCTTAGGATAATTTCACATGAGTTTCATCTTTCCTGGCCCAGTGGTTCTTGAGAAGAAGATTTTTAAAGATTTTTCCTATATATTATATAAATTTGGCTTAAAATAGACTATGTAGAGCAACAGAAAAATAAAAAATATATTCCAAGAACACATATGGTATAATCCAAAAATAATTATCGGTAGGTCTTCTGTCTTTCTTAAAAACTATTTTAATTTCGGTTTTGTTTTCATAAGTGACTTGTTCAACTTAGGTAATAATTTTTTAAGCCTAGACACTTTTAAATATCTTGGTATTAAAACAAATTTTGTTGAATTCTCAGTTTTGAAACAGGCTGTGTTAGACAGATTTGTAAACAAAAACCAAATGACTATGTTTTTTTCTTATAGTCCAAACATACCCAGTTCTGTGAAGATGTTTTATATTAATATGAAAGGCTGTAAAGACATATATGATATTCTTATTTATAGAAAGAAAAAAACAAGTACTTCAATTTTAAAATGGAATAAAAATGGATATTTATTCACAATGCGAGAATGGAGTAAAATTTTTGAACTTCCATTTAAAATTACACAAGAATCTAAACTGCAGTGGCTACATTTTCAAATTTTACATAGAATAGTTCCAACAAATTTATATCTTTTTAAACTTAAGATAAAGGAGTCTCCAGCTTGCATTTTCTGTAAGACTGACATTGATTCAATTGAACATTTTTTAATGAATGTAATTTAGTAAAAGAGCTTTGGAGTGATATTGAAGAGTAGTTTGTGTGTAAGTTTAATATATCTGTAATTATTGACAGAACAACAATATTATTTGGCAAACATAAGAATAAGGATGTCCATAAAGTGCAAAACTTGATGACACTGATAACTAAGAATTATATCTTTTCGACTAAATATTAAATCCTCATGTTCTAAGTATAATGACTCTAAACACTATTATTGTTGAAAAATTCTTGGTAGAGAATTTTTTTTACTTTTGAAACAATATAAACAAGCTAATTCAGAGAATTTGTGTCCCCCGCTTAGGAAAAAAGTAAACCATGCACAGTTCGGCGGTGGGGGTCAGTCTGTCTTTGTTAATTTTCCTCGTAGTTTTCTCATCAATACCCCATGGCATATAAGTAAGGTTAAAATTTAAACACACTTTCTGTTTTTGAATGACTTTTGATGGGATTCATTTTTGTACGAAATCGATTTTACTTTCTCTGTCCGTACCTAAAAAAAATCTCTTCAACATATCAAAATCCCCCCCCCCCCCCGTGGTTGTGTATTTTGATGTATTTTTGCGTTCGCAGCTAGGTTAAGGACGCCCATAGGAAATATGCCTTGAAATATTTCGAGAATAGCAATATAATTTTATATCTTTTTTATCAGCATGAGTTTAAATTTAATGGGATATGTACCAATGCATATGTATGTATGTTGTCTCAACCGAGTTTGGCCACAGCGACTTTACGAACATCAGCTGTATGTCACGTGACATCGTTAAAATTAGAAAAAATTATGTACGGATACAAAGATCGTAAAAAATCAAAGATATACGAATAATTTTATCAAGAAATTAATTGTGTTTTCTCTAAGGCAAATAACCCGAAAAGTGTTGGGAGCATTATCTCCATGTACGAGAATTATATAAAATGTAACCGTCTGATGCAAAAAACCTCGTGTATTTACACTATACGCATTGAAATATTGTAGAATTACAGAAAAAATCAACAGCGCACAACTTGCTCCCAGCACTTTTCAAAATAGTAGAGACTGTGAAATAATTAAAAATATGACTCAATTTTAGTCGATCACATTTATTTAGTTTTAAATTTCACATTTATATGTTGCAATTATAGCTTGATCTGCGTCTTAAGTGCAGAGAAACTGCGTGTTAAACTAGTCTATGACGTCATATCTGTCAGTACAGCGAGATCAAGTTGACTTTAATTTTACATTCAAATAGTGTTGTAATGACAAGATAAGTTACGCATTAATTTATGTTTACAATAATTAGGAGAAATTACTGTATGTAAAAGTGTATGAAAAAGAGATTCATTATTTATTCGCGGAGATTCATTTGTGCAGTTTCACCGTGACGTCGTAATCGATTGCCCGAAAGGTCTGCATAGACTGATCTACCTTTGGCAGTCCTAAACCTAGCTGCGATGAAAAAGCTTAATCCACGAACCATAAATAGGGTCCCATTTCTCATAATTTACGTGACTTGTATTATAGATAGTGTACACGTTAAGCTGTTCTGAATCGTTTTTTCTTTATTCGATATCTATGATACTTTTCTTTCAAAAAGAGGTCTTGCAATATGGCAGTGTTTTGAACGAATCATGAAGAGGTTTTGATTTTAATTTGACTTCATTAACATCCGTTTTCGACGGAAATATTGCACATGTGTAATGAATCAATATGGTCTACGGTGAGGATCATCAAAAATATTTATTCTAAATCCCTCTCTAAATTTTTCATATTTGCTTTTTCAAAAAGAAGTCTTGCAATATGGCAGTATTTGGAACCATGGTGAGGTTTGATTTCATTTTGACTTCATACACATTAATTTTCGACGGAAATGTTACACATGTTAAATAAAAAAGAATGGTCTAGTGTGAGAATCATCAAAATTATTTATTTTAAAACCAAGTAGGCTCTTTAAATTTTTCTATTTGCTAGGCCATTTAAGGCACTTTGTTGGTCGAGTTATATATATATTTTTTTGATATTTTGCTCAGTTCCATCAAGCGAAATGCTTAACATGGCAGCAATGCCCCTTTTTCTTTATTGCAGTGACGATGCTGAAATATCGGAGTCTGCTACACAGTCATTGACACTTCAAATAACATATTCTGGACCCTTAGAAGAAATTGATAAAAAGTTGAAGACAAAAAATCTAGCTGAATTAGAACTTAAGAATCAAGAATATTTTAAACTTTTCCAAATGAAAAATACAGAATCAGTAGACACGAAATCCATTGAAAAGAGATTCAAGGATGAAATGACAGAGCTTCAAAAGACAGGGATTCCTAGATTGAGAGAACTTTATGCTGCCTCCGAAATACTGGAACGAGAAGTGGTACTTATACTCCCTGAATTAAAAAAAGTATTACATATTTGGCCGATGATGAAAGAAATAACTGAAGACAATCCACTGCTGATTGAAGTCCTCTATGACGAAGAAAAGTGTACTCCAACCTTTCGAAATCTGAATGAACTTAGTGTTCCAGAAGAGGAATGGAAAGATTTTAAGGATCTTAATAAAAATCACAAACGCTGTTTTGACAAGCGGTTCCATAACGACTTTCAAGTTTTGAAATCCGAAAATTTTTATCCTGATTTGTCCTTTTTGAAAACTTGTGATAGGTCGAAATTTTCTGTTTTTGAGATTCTAAGTTGTTTTGTATATGGTAATCTTTCATGCACTCAATTAATAGAAAAATATGTTTCTGAACACCAACAAGACGAAGTATTAAGAACGATATATGAAAAACTAGTCGATTATGAAACTTATGTTGGCGAAGATCAATTAGAAAAAATAAGAAAATTACAAAAGGAAACCGAAAAAGAAGAGTTGTTGAAAAAAATTGAAGCCAAAGCTTTAAATGATCATTTAGCAAAGAGAAAAATAACATCAAAAGGAGATCTTTTATCGATCGCAAGTATATTCAGCTTTGATTTGTATATATGCGCTGGTGAAATGAAACAACTCATTCGTCCGATCTGTACACAAATGAACCAGGTTTTCCATGGAAATTTAATCCTAAATTCGATACCAGACTCAGAAAATTTATTTACAGTTGGTCCTTATTCCTCACAATCCTGTTTTTGTAAAATGGCAACACCTGTTATAAGAGGTGTTTTTTCAGACATTCAGGAGGAAATTGTACCAGAAATATACAGAAAAATCAGTAAGCAAATTCTTTGTTTTTCTACAAGAAATCTTTTTTCAGCATGAAATAGTTCATACGATGTTGTATTTCATAAATTACAGATTCTTCCTTAAAAGTCTGTTGTAAGCCTATATGGACAAGAAAAAGCCATACTCACCTTTCATATTTTCGTAAATGGTACCATCCGGATATAATACAAAACAATTTTCAAAGAAAGATACAGTTTGTCAATGTCGGACATAAAAATCAGACAGGGTTCGACAAAAAGTTGCTTGATCTTCTTGAAGAGGATGGTCGTACATTGGAACAGGAGCAACACAGTAGTATCTGCGAATGCCTTGCAAAAGAAGTGTATGGAACTACAACAGTTTCCAGTATAAAGAAGATCAGGTATTTTTGAAATAGATATATTGTTTGTTTTTTAGCGTCTTTTTCGAGAATTTTCATTCATATTGAAACGCTATCACTTGCCTATAAATGGATGCAAACACAAGCATGTATCCGGCACACAAGGCCATTGGACACAGACTTTTTCGTTCAAACACCTACTTCGACATGGGACCTCGAATTCAATGAATTTTAAGAATTCTCAACATCCAAGAAATTCGCAGTACAGTTAAGGTGCGCAATAGAAATATCGACAATTTTTTTTTGCGATTAAAAATGTAATCATAATCAGGATAACGATTTTTTAGTACATTATTTATATCGGATAATTTCATGATGGTTAATAACTACATATTGGCGATTAGGTTTTATATTTAGACTTGTCACGTGATTTTAGCACATTTACTTGCAGTATTGAGGTTAACTATAATTGTCACTAGTTTTTCAGGGCATAACCAAGTAAAATTCTAAGTTTAGTTTTTAAATATTTCTAACAAGCATTGTTGTTTCTGAAAAGTGCTGCGATACTATCTATATTCTGCAATATCTATATATTTCCGCATCACTTTTCAGTTACCTTAATACTTCTAGTGTTGATTTGTTAAAGCATAATTACTATGATCCATAGAGTGTACATATCCGCCCTTGCACTATATCGATTTATTGAGACTCTCACAATACCCTCGAATGTACTTGAATACAAATATACGGTAGTATCAAATTAAATAGGAGCTATGCGGGAAAAATATTAATAAAATCTTGAATTAGACTACGAATCCAAGTTTATGGCTTATAAAATATTTGTAAATAATATTTATTTAATATTTAATTATAGAAAACATTTTTCGTTGAGAAAATATTACTTGATTTGGCTCTCACTGCATGTAAAATGTGTCAAGTTTTACGAAATGACGTCACATCGACAAGAGCATTGCCATCAGTGACTTGGTCCCCAGCTAAATTTCCAGCATTTAATCTCGTTTGCCTGTGCGTCCGTCAAAAAAAACTTTTGCCTTGGTCATATCTTTTTAATCAAAAGAGATAAGACTTTCATATTGCATATTTATATCACCTGTGGCAAGACTTTTCTAGATAAGTATGATTATTGACCCCGTGACCTTGAAGTTTGACCTATTAAAAATGTAATGCTCTTTGAATCGGCCATTACTTTTGAATGAGAAGAAGGCTTTTATATTAGTGATGTGTATTACCTGTGACAAGACCTTGCTGTAAACATTATATTTTTAACCTCGTGATCTTGAAGTTTGACCTACTTTTCAAAAACTTTTCAAAAACTGAACCAGACAGAAATACATGTAAAAGAGGAAAACTTAAAACGCACACTATTTTATTAAATTAAATATTTATAAACATAATGAGATGATGTATTATTGAACGCACAAATTAGTGTGAAAAAATATCAACTTTCAACACAGACTCCGTTGACGATAATCATGTCAGTGGAAGTATGAATAACCTAAATGTTCCAGTCATACCGGCACTCGTTGTTTACGAATGATTATGTACAACAGATTAACCAAATCATTTGTCTGTCTTTTATAGTAAAAGAGTCTTCTTCTATCGGTCAATCCGTGACCATGACATGTTCATTGTTATGAGTGTCCTGAATACTTTCTCTTTCGAAGACTCTCTTACGAGCGGTTTTCAGGCAATTCGCCGATGTAAAATTGAAGTAAAACCGGACGTAAAATTATTTTTCTCTATATACGTCGCAAGTCACATAGTGTGGAGGGCCCTTAACGTTGCAACCTTGAACTTAATGTTTGACCTACTTTAAAGAAAATTAAATATTACTTTGAATTGACCATAACCTTTAAATGAAAAGAGATAGGGCTTTCATATTAAAACGTGTATTACCTGTGACAGACCTCCCTGAGAAACTTGTTACCTTTAACCTCGTGACTTTTAAGTTTGACATACTTTTTGAAAACGTTAACTTCGATTGGTCAGGAGTTCTAAATGAGAAGATACAGGCTTTAATATTATCTCTTAAAATACAAGACTTTTCTAAATAAATTATGATTTCTTATCGTAAACTTAACCTTGAAGTTTGATCTAATTTTCAAATTCAAAATTTAACTAATGTCAAACAGAAATCAAGCAAAAATCTCACCGGTCCGATTTTTGTAAAAAAAAAAAAAAAGAAAATATACGGTATTTAACAAATTGAACGGCACGGCTGTAATTAGTTGAGTTCTTTGTAAAATAAAAATAATAAATGAAAAACGGGTACAATATAAAAAGTGAAATATTCATCCTTGCCTGTCAATTTTAAACTTTCAAAAATGTTCATAATTATAGTATATAGTAGCAATTAGAGCTTCAATCACTGCCAATAGTAACAGTTACTTTCCGTTTGTATGAAAAGTCTTATTTTTGAAAAGGTTTCCTTTTGGGGAAAAAATCGCGAAATCGATGGTTTTGTAAAGTTAAAAATTGTTATATGTGTGTGCATATTTTATAAATTTAGATTATAATAAAACAACTTAAAACAAACTATTGCTAAATTGGTATTTCTTTCAAAATTATTTTAAACACATGTGACCTGGAAAGGAGGTAACAACCTAAGTAGCAAGAAATTCTCGGTTTAAGAAAAGAAAGAAAGAAACCTTTAATACTTGTCTAGGCGAAGTTGTTACAAATCAGATAATTTGCTTTCATCTTTACCACCTATTACACGCTAAAAGTGTTACCAGCTCCTTAATTTTCATCGCCGCGTATCAAAATAAGAATCTTGTTACGAGTGAAAACAAGATTTCAGTCACCTATGCATTCTTCATGAAAAAAAAAATAGTAAACGCAATCTTGATTAATTTTACTGATAAATTATGAGATAATTTTCATTTTTCAATGGCATATTCGTAATACAGGTAATCAATTAATATATTTTACGGTGTGACCGTTGGGGCGAGCGCAGTTGTACCATTAAAACACTTGAAAAATTTATCAGCCACTTCAAACATCAAGCAGCACGAGACATCTCGACTAGCTTTGATTTCACACGACGTCAGGAGACGTCACGGAGCTCGTCGGAGCTTACAGACACAGCCGAACGTCTGGTTGAAACTATAGGCCTAGACCTAGTGCAATTTAGGTCGAAAAACATTGCAGAGTTATTTTTTGTTTCTTTGATTTCTTTGAAAGATTTCTACAAACTGAGTCTTTAAATATGCTTTTCGTTTTTATTTATTTATTTATTCGCGCAAAGGACATTGGGTAGTAAAGGAATTCTGGGTTTGTTTCACAGAAAAATTTGCCTAACGTATGTACAGATTTCATTCAGAATTTCCTCTGTTCTTACACGTAAGTATATTGAGCTCGCTTCGCGACGCTCGCTGCGCTCGATATATTCATGTTAGAATTGTTTTCATCGAAATGGCTTCCTTATTGCGCTGGTAATGCGGTGACATCGGAAGACTGAAAGATAATTTGATGGTGCATGGCCACGAGTGTGAAACAAGGTGAAAGAGTTTTACACAGTGATTAGTAGATAAATGTTAATGAATTTCAAGTACCCAATAATGGATCTTGATTAACTTTATTGACGGGGGATATAGACCAGACAAATCTGAGGGCGATGCTTATCATATCGGACATAAAGTATGCTGAATATCCTAATAATTTAGAAAAAAGCAAGGTACAGTTTCAAAACAAAATAAGCCCTGTATTTTTCTATAAAGTGACATAAGAAATCGCGGTGGTGTGGTAGTTAGATCTGTCCTAGACGCTTCACGCACATCACAGAGGTTGGGATGAGTGCGGCGAGAAATATGTCGGTTCCCGTCTGACGCTTCAAAATGTAAAACTTTGAAAAGTCACTAGCTTAAAATACAACCTTAAAGTAAATCACTTTTTCAATCAGTTAGTATTTGTGTACTTTCATGGAATTTGACTATTACGGTAATTCTGCATAAACTAAACTATTTATTCTAGTGGTTTAGTGGTTTTTGATATGTCTATATTCATGCTGCACATGATATCTTGATAAATTGCAAATTATGTTCATGTTTTGATACTTTCCGGAATTTGCAAGTGTATACGTCATTATTTTTGTGTTTTTTCAAAGACTCAATTTCCGGTATAGATATCGTACAGCATGGGTCGTGTAAACTTGTTCTTGTAAGTTTTTGATCAATTTCTATTCTATCACTCAACTCAGAGAGGAGTCTGTGTGCATAATTTCAATTTTAATACAGTGCAAAGTGCGACATTTTGATATGGATTAATTTTTGTTGTAATTACATTTCAGATATATTTCTTGAATAGAAAAAAAAAACAACAAATAAACCCTTACCAAAATAAAAGCCTTCTGGCACATAGTTGCAGCAAGTTTACTACAAAATTGCCGCAACCTTGCGGCAAATATTTGCGGCAAACTTGCCGCAAATAGATTTTTCGAATGCAAATTTTTTTCTGGCACACAGTTTGCGGCATATTTGCGGCAACGTTCTGGCACATTTGCGGCAAACATTTCAAATCCTTACATTATGCACTTAGCTGCGAGTTTGTGGCACACACTTGCGGCACATTTCTGGCATATAGTTAACTGCAAATTTGTGGCACACACTTGTAGCACATTTCTGCATATACAATTCCATAAGCTAATATACTTTACCTAAAAAAATTAATTTTAAAAGAACGTGATTAAACATGACAGCAACATGTAATACATGTACTATAAAAAAAGAAAATTTAAGCCATTTTAAAAATTATTTATGAAAATTTCAAGGTAAAAAGGTACACGTATATATAACACTAACTATAATATAAATGTTTAAAAAAAAAAAAACTTGAACTGTACGGAACAAAATCTGTTGATTGAACAGTTACACTGTATACATCAGATAGAGAGAGAAACAGATTTAAAAAAATAAATTCACAACCTTTGAATAATATAATGGCACAAATTTACACTGGTCATTATGCAAAATGCAATCACAAAACATTTTACATCAAAGAAAAGATTCACCTCTTACAATGAA